CTTAGACTCATTTGGAACCTAGATGTTAGGTGGTATAAACCCACTTTTATTTTTTTTTTGTATTTTAGATATTAAGTTGATGGCTTTGATAATCTATATCTTGTTGTTTCGCTTAACATGCTTCTACGTTGTTTGAATTGCATATATGACATGATTTATGCTAGGAATGATTTAAGGTAGTTTAGGATGCTCCTTGAGTCTCATTTTAACATAGACGTTAGGTGGCATAATCCTTTTGAATTGTTTCAAAGTAAATGTAAAAATCTGTGAAGAAATTGAGTCTATACATGTTCATTCCCTACGAGTAAACTTGTTTACTCACCCCGAAGTTACTGCAGGTTTTGTTCAGGTACGAAAACTTTGTTCGTGATGTTCATCATTACTTGGATGATTGTAGACTTGAAGGTTTTAATTCTTGTAAAAGTTGGCTTGAAATGCCACTTGTAGCCTTATTTGTCAAAATGTATGTATTTGATTCCATTTATGTAATGTGTACAGAAGTACACTCTTTGTAATGTATTTGACTTGTATGTAATGAGGCCAAGGGCCAAAGACACTTATGTGATATGTATGCAAATTTTTAGCTTCATTGTTGCTTATGGAAGTTAGGAGATTTCATGCATTGAAGGGTTATATTTTACATACAACATGCCATGAGGCCGTAGGCCATTGTAGTACGTCTACTTTATCATATTACGTATGCTTGCATGTTCACTTTGGCACACAATACCCTTCTTGATGAAACAAAAACTTAAGGTTACATTTTTTTTAAGTTTTTACCCTATTCTATTCTAGGGGCATTTTGTGTATTTCACAATATGTGTTTTTTCATTTTCGCCCAAGTTGTCGGGAAGAAAACTCGATTTCGGAAGGGGTTTTTTCTTTGTGTTTTTCCAGAAAATATCATCTTGGCCCTCAAAAACCTATTTTTTTCCCAAAAATCCTTGCTGCCAAGTTTTTGCTGATTTTTAATATAAGTGTACTTGGAACTATTCATCGACTTTTTTTTTTAAAAAATGTGACGACCGATCTGAAACTTCCGGGGGTCTTGTGGGTGTATTTTAAGATTGCATTTTCAATTTAGGCAATTTAAAAACCTCCCGAAGCTCCATTTCCTTTCCTTGGGTAGCAGCTCGGAAGGATTTTTACCCTCTTGACCTGATTTTCTTGAGGGCATTCTGGGCCTTTTACAATACATTTTTTTTTGTTTCCGTCCATGTTGCCGGGTAGAAAACTTAATTTTAAGAGGGGCTTCTTCTTTGAGTTTTTCCAAAAAAGTCCGTTTAGATTTCCGTTTTTACTCTCAGTTGCAACAGCAGTGGATCGACAGCACTGTAGCTGTCATGACCCTCTTTTTGTTTTTAACCTTTCTCCTTCGTCCGGACTCCAAATCGAGTAAACTTTTTTTGAACTTGACTATTTTTTTACTGTCTTTCTAATGGTGTGCTCGGTTGCACCCGAATCTTCCTGGATAATTACCAGTTTACCCTTTTTTCTTTGTATGTCCATTTTTCTTTGTTTTGCCATTTCTCCTTTGTCCCGACTCCAAATCATGCGATTCTTGAGTCCATCTTGATTAGTTTTTCATTATCTTTCCAGCGGTGTACTCGGTGGCACCCAAATCAATATTTTTAGAAATAACCATTTTGCCCTTGGGGTTATTTTTGTCCGATTTTCTTATAATTCGCTTCCACATTCTGGATTCGTTATCGGATCTATATTCGATTAATCACAGGACGCATTGGCTTGAAAAACCAGGGCCGTCACAGCGATAACAAAAAAGTAATTCACTCTTGTAGACAGTCCCTGACCGAACTCAACAAACTCATCATTGGGTATGTCCCAGACTATCGATCCGACTAGTTTAATCACTTCAGTTAGATACTAAATACATTTAAATAATTCTTACTCATAATATCATGAGTTAAACAAACACCTTAATTAATAATTAATTAATTAATGCTAACAAACAAGTATCAACTCATAGTCCTAATCATAATAAGTTGCAAACTTATACTCTAAATTTCAACCTCAATATCATTCAAATTGTTTTGCCATTAACTGTACTCACCTTCCTCAATACCAAGGATATCGATGAACTGTAGCTGTCCATTGCCCATCAACCTATTCTGTGAAAGTTTATTCTCCTCCATTCCATACCCAATTATATGCAATCATCTCACCAATAATCACATGCCTTTCCTTAGTCTTTTCTACACTATTGGCAAAAATTAAATAAAGTTTTTCCTTAACCTTTTCTACACTATTAACTAAAAATTAAATAAAATTTTTTCTTAATCTTTTTTTACACGACTCACAAAATAATTTTCTAATAGACCCCATTTCATCGTTACCATTTCCCCTTATTTCTTTCTTTTCAATTCACTTAACAAATAAGCGACATCATCCACTTCCATGCCGCCCACAGAATTTTGACCAAAAAAACTCCTTGTGGCCCCGCCAACATCATTAGCATTTATCTTTATTTTTCTCCCACCAACATATATCTATCTAACACACGGGTCATTAGTTATACATCAATTCCTATCAATCCCATCAATTAACTTTACCTATGTGATCAAACAAGGTAAAAGAACAAGAAAAGGCTGAAACAAGTCTTTTATAAAGTAAAGAAAACACTGATGGAGTCGAAATTGAATATCTCGGCACATGCTATCAATTTAGCCCCCGTTGGATTTCCCCACCTACGCTGCCTAACTACCCAATAATCTAGTAAAATAAAGATTTACGAATCCCACGAATCAAGACCCAATACCTCTAATTAAAAATAATTATAATTTTACAATTAAATCATACATAATAATCTAATAATTAAAACCTAAATAACTACAGAGGTATAAACAAAAATTAACTTGCCTGAAAACGAAATCTGCTTAAACTTCTCAGTTTCTTTGAATGATCGTGTAGAATTCACTAAATGGTATTGTAGGTATGTCAACGTAGGTAATGCAATGCCGATACAACTATATATATATATATATATATATAGTGGTTGAGTTTAATAAGAACCCTTTAAAATTCAAAGTAAACTGAATGATAGTTCTATATCTCTTAAAAGTTACGATAAACCTCCTATCTCCTCTTAATTCCACATAAATAATAACATGAATTCATATTATATATATATATATATATATAACACCAATATGGGGAGTTACATAGACATTGATCATTTGAACGATGTCCCAATCACTTGGTGCCAAACATGACAAGGGTGGGTTTCACTATATAAAGTCTAAATGTAGTGGGATACGGGGTAGGTTATTCTGTTGCATAACGACTGGTGGTAGTGGGATAGGGGGTAGGTTATACTGTTGCATAACGACTGGTGGTGTGGGGCATATAGTACAGACCATTGGAGCAATTACCCATTTCAATTGTTCTACGAGGACAGGTTTTGAAAAATGCAACCGTGGAGAAAAAATATCACAACACAATTAAGAGACTTTGTTATTTGAGAAACAAACATCAAATTGAACTTGAAAGAGGGAACAAGTTAGAAACACATTATCTAAACAAAAAGAAAAATTAATTATAAAGCTGTCGGTTTGCGTAATTGGTGTAAAATAACCATCATATAATTGTGACGGAGATAAAATTGTATTTTTAGCCAAGGATTGAAACATATGTGGCGAGGAGCTAGCACATGTGATTTGTAGCTCCACCGTCAATGATCCAAAAAAAATTTTTTAAAAAAAGAGGCGAGAGTAATACATACTAAATTTGTAGAATGATCAGATACACCTTGTTGCAAAATGGCCAAAAGCTGATTGTTTTGTTATTGCGAAATTGGTTGTGACTCCAAAGCAGAAGTTGATGGTTGAGATTGGTTGGAACTTGAAGAAATCGTTGCCATTAGGGCACACGCGAGCAATTGTGAAGAGAGTTTTAATACTGAGTCTCTATACCATGTTAGAGAAAATTTAAGAAAGAAAAATAATCTTCATTCATTAAAAAATCACAATCCTTTGTACAAGATGTCTATATACAAGAACTCTCCGATTAAAAAAGTAAATTAATCTCTTATAATCTGCTAGAGTATTCTAGAAATACAAGCGTACAATAATTAGAAAATGAAAGATTCTTTCATAAGATCTGGAGAAGATTGGGATGCTAATAAACATTAAGCGGGCGAATATTATCTTAAGAGCGTAGATTTTAATTCTAACCTCCATCTACAAACAGGTTCTTTACTTATTGTTTGGCTTGGTTTATTAATCTAATTTTCCCATATAATTATATTTGTCATCATATTAAACTACATCCAAGCATTATTTTACACACATTATTCCTATCACGTCCTGAAAGCCACTCTCACCTCTTTTTCGAATGTCAATTCACATCTCCAATTTGGCACTTTCTCCAATCGAAATGTGGGTTCTACGTCTGCCCTGCAAATTGGTTGTTCTTGGCTCCCATCATTGGAAGAAGAAAAGCATAAGCAATAAAGTCTGAAAGCTAATTTTATCAGCTTCTGTATACCTCCTCCTCCTCCAGACTCCATTGGTTGAAGCCCTCTTTGCTTAGACTTACCGGAATTGCAACGGTTATCCCCTTTTGAATATTTCACATTGGAAGAATGAAAGCAATTCAAAATGCTCATGCTATCTGAAAAAAATTACGGTTAAATGAAACAAGAACTCCACAAGCTTAATGCTGCCATTTCCCAACTATCTGAACTCTGGAAAGCTTAAAATAAATAAATAAAAATAAAAAATAAAAAACAACTTCCAACTAAAAAATGGCAGATAATCAATATACCAGTAAAGTCAAATCAGAATAATCAATATTATCCCACAAAAATCTTACCACATAATCACATGGACTTTTCTATACTTGAGAACAGCTCCATTATTGTCTGTCTGCTCATATTTGTCGTGGTCTGTATTCAATATGGGGTTTCATATTCATAAGGGGACCACACGTTCCATTTTTATAAGATTTTAACATTTTATTCAGTAGAAGATATATATACATAACAATTAAGGTCAAGTTTTCTGTGGAATCTATAGCAGCAAGAAATGTTGTTCTTATTCAACTCTTTATTTTACTCTCTTCTTCTATTGTTCTTCTCCTTAATCTTCCTTCTGAAATGGCTGTCCAACCAAAGAACCCAAAGAAATCTACCACCTTCTCCATCAAAGCTCCCAATTATTGGAAATCTCCACCAACTTGGATTGCTCCCTCATCGCTCGCTCCATTCATTAGCTCAACAATATGGCCAGCTCATGCTGCTTCATCTTGGCAGTAAGCCTACTCTCATTGTTTCCAGTGTTGATGCAGCTCACGAGATCATGAAAACGCATGATCTCAACTTCTCAACCAGACCTAAATCAAGCATTGCTGGTAGACTTTTCTATGATAGGGATGTCGCATTTGCTCCTTATGGAGAGTATTGGAGGCAAGTAAGAAGCATTTGTGTTCTCCACCTTCTAAGTAGCAAAATGGTTCGGTCTTTTCGTAGAGTGAGAGAAGAAGAAACAACCCTAGTGTTGGAGAAGATCAAACAATCTTGTCCTTCTCCTTCTCCTTCACCATTGAATTTGACTGAAATGTTTATCTCACTGTCAAATGATGTAGTGTGTCGCGTAGCCTTGGGAAAGAAGTACAGTGGAGGGGAAGGTGGTAGGAAATTAAAAGATCTATTTAGGGAGCTTGTGGAGGTTTTGGGAATTTTCAATGTGGAGGAATACATCCCATGGCTTGGATGGTTGAATCGCGTCAATGGTTTGAATACTAAAGTGGAGAAAGTTGCTAAAGATCTCGATAAATTTATGGAGATTGTAATGGAAGAGCATACGGATGGTCGGAAAAAAGAGAGCGGTGGTGGTGGGAGTGATGAACATGATGAAGGGCAACAGGATTTCGTAGACGTTTTACTTGGAATTCAAAGAGAAAGCAATACTACTGCCTTTCCTCTTCACAGAGACAGCATTAAAGCTCTCATCTTGGTGAGTCTGTCTTTCTCTCTCTCCCTAAAATTCAATGACTCGGCTAAAATTTTGATATTGCATGACATCGTTAATGATTTAGTTTTGATACTGGTTCCCACTGATTGTTTTTTTGAAAAGAAAAAAAACTACGAATTTCTCGAGAATCTCAGTTTTGAAATTGGAACTAATGCTTCCCTACAAATTTTTAGATGAAAGACTTTATAACTTTTGTTTCTTGTAGGATATGTTTACTGGTGGAACTGAAACTACCTCCACAACTCTAGAATGGGAAATGACAGAGCTTTTAAGAAATCCCAAAGTCATGAAGGAACTGCAGAATGAGGTGCGAAGAGTAGCAAGAGACAAAGATGACATAACCGAGGATGATTTAGAGAATATGCACTACTTGAAAGCGGTGGTCAGGGAGTCTATGCGATTACATCCTCCTGTTCCATTGCTAATTCCCCGAGAATCGATTCATGATGTCGAAGTAATGGGCTACGACATTGCAGCCGGCACACGAGTGTTCATCAATGCTTGGGCAATTGCCAGAGACCCATCATTTTGGGAAGACGCTAAAGAGTTCTGGCCGGAGAGGTTCTTGAATACTTCAATAGATTATAAAGGGCATGATTTCCAATTTATTCCATTCGGAGCTGGGAGGAGAGGTTGTCCCGGAATCCAATTCGCCATGACTCTTAACGAGCTTGCATTAGCAAAGCTTGTGCATAAGTTTGATTTTGCACTGCCTAATGGAGCAAGAGCCGAGGATATGGACATGACTGAAGCCCCTGGTATAAGCCTCAACAGGAAGTATCCTCTGCTAGTTGTTGCAACTCCATATGCTTGCTAGCTATTCTACACGTATCTGATGCAAAATTGTACTACATATCTGACAAACAGTCTATTAAGGGGGCAGTATTTTAAAAATATCCCCAAAAAAAAAAAAAAAAATGACAAAAGTAAAAAATTTAATAAATAAATAAAAACTCATGCACTTTGAGTCGTTTGAATTCTGTTAATGAAAATCTACATTTGTTAGAAAAGACAAGTTTTAAATGTAACATATATATACCTTTTATTACTTTTATTTTGTGGCACTTATGTATTGAGTTTTGAAAAGCTTTACTTTTCGAAACTGATTTCTCTCCGGTACAAATAATTTTTTAAGTGAGATGCGTGATATCAACTAAGAAAAAAATTGAGAGATACTAAATATTAATTTTATTTAGTTTTTTCTTTTATTTTATAATAAAATAATATATTTAGATATTTAACACAATGGTGGACTTGTCCATTTCACTATTATTGAAACAAAAATATAATAAAATTGAATCAATAAAAACTATGTTTTTTAAAAAGTTTTTATGTTTAATGATCTAATCTAATGTGTAAAAGCACATTTTTTATATATATTTTTTTATATGTAAATCTACCGTGAAAGTCTCAAGTGTTTCACGTTTTTTTCAAAAGAGTGCATATTGGTTAGAAATGGTCGTATCTTCAAAAGCACAGTAGCTAAGGACCTGTTTGGCATGCGATATATTTTTAGTCAAAACAAAAACAAACATTTTGTTGTAGGAGTATTGTGTGTAAAATTCGGAACCATGTTTGGTAACAAAATTTTGTTTTGAAAAATTTAGAAACAAAATGTGTTTGGTAAGGTTTTGCATTCCAAGAAATTCGAAAATATAACATGTTTTGAAAGTCTTTTTGCTGTCAAAATTTCTGAATCAATAATATGAAACTTGTTTGGTAAAGGTTATTTTGTTTATGTTTTGAAAAATTAAATATATATATTAATACAATTACAATTTTATATCTAATAGTCCATTTTTATATGGTTTGAGATATTTTGTAACTAAAAATAATTTTTAATCCATTAACCCTTGGAAAAAAATTATAAATCATTTGTTCCATTAACATTTGTAATAAAATTACATGTATTTATGATGCAAATGTTAAAAGGTTTCTAACCATTGGTTTTATAATAGAGTAAGTTGTATTTCGCCTATTTCCATTATATATGATTATAGTGAGAGATTTAATTCTAATAGAGTCACTTTTTAAAATATTATTATGGTTTAAAAATCTCTAACATTTTGTGGCAACATTATTCAATTTTTGGTGTTCTTGTATGCTCAACCCAAGTTTTGGCAATATATTTTTTGAAAGATTTTTTAACATTACGCACGTTTTGATTTTACATTGGCATGCATATAATTACAAACAACTGGAAATTACAATTCAAATGATATAAACTGGTCCAGAATACTTACAAAAATTACATGAATCTAAAAATTACATTGGCAATAGGGTGAATAAATCTGAAATTTAAAATTACTATTGGTTGCCCATGCACTAATATAAAAAATTATATCGGTTACATTATGCACTAATCTGAAAATTACAATAATATAAACTACTCCAAGTCTGCACCACTTGTGTCAATGTAGCATACAGATAACAAAAACAACCATCCAACATTTAAATTGAACCATACATTGTGCACTAATATGTGGAACCATGCATTGTGCAATAATCTGTGAGTATAGCATTCCAGCAAGATGGAGAGTAGCACCAATGTATGCATAAACAACATTCAATTGGTTATAGCATTTCACTAACATTGGAGAGTAGTACTAAAGAGAATAATTGAACTCAGAACCAACACAGGAAGAAATGATAAGAATTATAATTAAACAACTATTTATACCAAAAAATTAAAATAAACCAAATTTAGGCGTCCCTTTTTTATTTTATTTATTTTCTTTTTTTTTTTTTCTTTTTTCTTTCAAACTCAGTGTGTACACAGTATCTCATCCATAGACCAACCAAGTACCACAGTTGAACTCGGCAACTACGCATGAGAAAGTGACACCACATTTAGTGAACTGAAGTAATACACTTCAATACTACTAAAAATATAGACCTAAATGTAAGCAACCATTATATGCATTGCAAAAATTTCAAAGAATGAGTGCAATTGGTAGTGGCTAGACAAGACAAGAAATGACCAAATATAACCATGTTCTTTTAACCTTTTTTCAAACTCAATTGGTGCACAGTAGATATTCACAGACCAAGCAAGTACCAGAATTTGACTTACCAACAACACATCCACATATCCATCATAAGCAAACACATGCACAGAGTCAAAATATCAAGGATTACACAAGTGTCCATAACTTATTTTAGGTAAGCAATGCAAACTGTAGAGGGTTAAATTTGCAAACCTTTCTTCATGCTCAGATTTAATTGTGGAGAAAATGACCCCATTCTTAGTCCAAGTCCACAGTTGTGTACACAGCAGCAAACAAGCAAATGCACAGAGTCAATATCTGTGATATCTCTCGATTCTAGAGGTACGGGTGATCAAGTCCGAGCAAAAGATCCGAGGGATACCAAACAAATAAGTATGTAAATAAGCATTGAGTACAAAAGAAATAAAAGAATAAATAGGCTGAAAGAAAACTAAATAACAAATCCTCAAAATACTAATAAAATAATCCGATAATCCAAAACCTTAAATATTATTACAACTCGGGAATCCATCTAGTGGACCTCTAATAATATCCCAACTGGAAGTGAATAGCTGAAATAAAATCCAAAGCTAAAATATGCAGGGAAATCCTACGTAGTCGGAAGAGTGAGCGACTGTCTCTACTCAGCACGATCAAGCTCTAAGACTAGAACTATCGAACACCTGAAAAATAATAGTGGGTCAGGCTCACAAACAAGTTCCACTCTACTACAATCCAAACAGAGACCCGATACGCAGATACATCCTAGACAGCTCAACAATAGCTATCTAGTCCATAAATATATATATATATATATATATATATATATATATATATACATACACACACACTAAGGGACTCTTACTGGATTACAAGGCAATCTCAACCTGACTAGTAGGCAACATACAAAACGCACTTGAAGTGGGTATGAGTAGCTAGACCTAATAGGGTACACCACTAACCATCATAGCCAGTTATACATCCCACTGCATATACGCTCCCTAACTATCGATCCTAAGACTCAAGCTCATATCGTGGTACCATAATCATATATATAAAAATCCATCCAAATCCAAGGTAATGTCATTCAACTGTTCGTTGACCTGACATAAATATAAGTAGGATTTAACGTTTATAGTTAATCCATTCCCTTATTCCAGAATAGGTAGGACTTAGCGTTTTGAGTTAATCCGTTCCTAATATGCCACCGTCCCATACCAGTGCATACAATCCCCAAAACAATCCAATAATTGATAAATAGAATAAAGTAGTTCATTACTTAAAATCCAGATAATGATATAATGAAAATCAGATAAATAACTGAGCACATTATAGTGAAATATTTAAGAGCACATCCATATTAATCCATTTAACTTGCTAGTACAACATCAAGCAATTAAATTCTCCATAATTATTGACAACATGCAAATCAGTAATAAAATTTCATGTTGTCCAATATCTTAGCATAATAGCATAGACTAACCATTCGAGGATTTTGACATGTTTATTTAAATCATTTAAAACCCCCCATTAAAGTCCAGAACCACATTCCAACCCCTAAAGTTTCAAAAAATACCAAAAATACACCTACTGATGTATTTCAACAAGGGAGCCGCCTCCCCTAAAGAAGGAGCCATCTCACCCTTTTGTGGAGCCGACTCTCTATGAGGGAGAGCCGGCTATCTCTCTCCTAGAGCCGATTCCCTCCTTTGGAGAGCCGGCTCTCTCTATCCCAGAGAGCCGTATGCTGAACCCCTCTATCTTCTTCGCCTCCGGCGATGTTAAAACATCTCTGTAAGTAATTATTAAGGTTCCTAGTGGTGTAATCTATGTCCCGAATTTATTCCAGAAACTCATAAAAACTCAGTATGCATCATTAACAACAATTAAAAAAATACATAAGATGAAACAATTGATAAGATAAATCAATTTCAATCAACAACACATAATATAGTTAAAACTCTAAATTAATATGCATACAAGATCAATTTTAATGTCCGATTAAATCCTAGAGATTATCTAGGCATGCACAGAACATAAGTTTAAGGGAAGGAGTAAGAGAAATAACTTGCCTTTGAGATTTCGGATTAAAATCTCAACGTCATCTTCCTAGATTTCCTGGCAAACCTTGACTGTTCTTAACTCCTCTGTTGCCCTTGGTTCAACCCACGAGCAAGCTTTAATAACCTCTCCTTGGTTCAGCCTTTGTTCTTGGCCAAAATCCTAATTCGTTATCTCAGTTTTTCTCAAACCTCTCTGTATATCTCTCCGCCACTGTGTGTATGTGAGTAGGGTTTCTAACCCTCGGTAGACCTAATATATATATATATATATATATATATATATATATATATATATATATAGGCTTATAAAACCTAATTCTAATTATAATAAGAGAAGGAAAAGAAAAGAAAAGAAAATAAATATATATATCTAAGTCTGTTAGCCCACAACGTGATAATCTTATATATATATTAAACCCTAAAACTATATAATACATATATATAGAGAATTGATACTCATTTAACCATTAATTATAATTAATAATTAAAATAACCTTATATATATATATACCCATATATATATGTATAACCATCCACGGATAAAACTGTAATCTAAACTCCTATCCAAGTAGTCCATGAGAGTCAAACGATTGGTCCATTGCTACTATCTAAACCCAACTCCTTTCTAAAATAAAAATAAATAGAATAACATTTAATTTAATCTAAACACTTAGCACACATCATCGAATCATACAAATAAATAAACAACAATATAAAATAACCACATACACAATTAATTCAAATAAGTAATTAAACAAATAACTAAGAAATCAAACTAATAATATAAAAATGCAAATAAAAGAAACAAATAAGTACCGAGACTATCCTTTTAAAATTAAGGGTATTATA